AAAAATAGATTCATACAACCCAGAAGACTCCCAATGATACCGCACCATTTATAGTATACAAATTAAAAAAAGCTGTAAGCTTCTTCATCAAACATAAACAATAAGGGGCACCACAGATGAGGACCAAAAAATTTACCTGATGGATCCGCGCAGCAGCACCTTTCTGGGTTTCTCTTCTAAGGGATTCAATACTAACACACACTGCAGGGCGGTTTTCGCTGCTGTGTGAGGCGAGTCGAGAGACGAATAAGAGAGCGGGCTGCTGCGGTCGGGGCCCGGCAGTTCAGCTCAGCTAGCTGCAGCAGCTGCCGGCCTGCTGTGCGCGCGGGGTGTCGGCGGGGCGCAGCGGGGCGGAGCGGGCGCGGCCTGTTTCAATCTCGGGCCCGGACGTGCCGCCCATACTACGGCCGACCGCACGCCGCGCCAAGCCGCGCCAGCCCGGCGCGACATCCTCACTTTATTTCCGATACATGTGTCAAATCTGTTACGGCCCTCCCTTCTGCTTCTCCTCGCGCGCAGGGCGCGGGGCGCCGCCTGTGTACCGCCGGCTGCCGCCGCCGCCATGGAGCTCTCGCGCACGCCCGACCAGAACAGCCTCATGTACCACACACGAGGCAATACAGAAAATTACAAAAATAATTCGAGCCCAAATTTGATTGTCTCTGTGGCCGGGGCGGCGGGTCCCAGGAGGGGCCTAGTAGTGCCCGGGGGCGAGTGAGTTGTCCGCCGGCCGACCGCGAGGGTCGTGTCGGTTGGAAAGGGAGGAGGGGGGGGGGGGCACCAAGCACCTCTACGGCCCGACCGAGACGCACCTGAGCGCACCTACGCCAGGCGGTGCCCCAAATCACCTGACAGGCGCTTCACCCAGAGAGACGCCGCCGCCGCCCAACGACAAGAACAACGCGCGGTTGATTCGATGGATCCGCGCAGCAGCACCTTTCTGGGTTTCTCTTCTAAGGAATTCAATACTAACACACACTGCGCGGTTCTCGGTACACGCACAGACGAGACCAGGGGAGGGTGCGCACACAGCGTCCCGCGCGACGGGTAGAGACAGGGGGTACTTGAAGGATCAGAGAGAGAGCGGGGGATGTGACGAAGGGCAGTGCAGCCTGCTGCGAGCGGGCCAAGTAGGGTGTGACGAAGGGCAGTGCAGCCTGCTGCTGCAAGCGGGCCAAGCAGGGTGTGACGAAGGGCAGTGCAGCCTGCTGCGAGCGGGCCAAGTAGGGTGTGACGAGGGGCAGTGGAGCCTGCTGCAAGCGGGCTAAGCAGGGTGTGACGAAGGGATGGGCAGTGCAGCCTGCTGCAAGCGGCCGCCGCCCGGTGCCCAACGGGTGACTGCGGCTGATTTATGTGAGGGACGGCAGCGGGGCGGCGCTTGCACGGCGCAGATTGGCGGCGCGGCGGCCCGTCGTCCCCGGGGAGGACGGGCGGAGGACACCGGGCAGGACAGGAAGGAGGGAGAGCGGGCCCGGGCGGGGCTGCGGGCCGAAGAGGAGGAGATTCATATCAGGAAGGAAAGAATCGCTATCGGATTGGGAGGGAAACACAGCCGGCCGGCCGGTGGGAGAGGGGGCGTGCGTGGTG